ATCAACCTCTGGGGCCGGGCCCTTCTTGGGGTACACTTGAGAAGTGTATTTGTTTGATATACTACATTAAATATGTTTGAACTATAAAATCAATATCATATTAACATTAACATGCTGCCCTATTAAAATTTGGTAAAGCTTTGTGTTAGATGTCTGTAATTTGAGGTCTGAATAATTTCCTAATATTCAATAAGAAATCTTCTTGAAAGAACAATAATTTTTGTACTCATTATCAGGAGAGTGGAGACAGTGTGTGCTATAGCATAATGTAGCATAAGTCCATTAGTCAGAGCACAACAGGTCAGCTGGTTGTTGTGCAATACAGTAAATTACAGATGCCAATTAATATTGAATGGTAAAGCAATATTTACCCATATATTAATGCCACTTTCTTTAAATGACATTTCTGTTTTCATTATAATTTGTCCCATATTAAATAGTGCACCTGCTGCTAGCTCACCAAGCACCACTGAGATAGCTAATAAGGCTCAGCTGATGAGCACGTTATTAATGTTTACATCGCATGCTGTCATGAGCATGAGCCTCTTGTCCATGAGTAGATGCACGCTTCCTTCTGCGCAGGGATTTGGTTGGTAAGGTGTAGGTCGGTAGCAAGAATAGTTCCTACATGAAACTGCTCACAACAAGGTCTGTGGATTATCTTGAGTAACCAGGGGTCCGTTTCACAAAGCAGGTTTAGTGAAAACTCAGAGTCTGTTAACCCTGAAATGAGGGAAACTGAGTTTTCCATTTCGAAAAGGGAGGTAACTCAAACCAGAGAAAGAGGGGTAACTGTAGCCTGTTTCAGAGGGAGAGGTAACTTAAGGTCTCGGTCACTTACCTTAGTAACAGACTCTATGAACCTAACCTGGTCGGGACCAGGTTTTTCTCAATGAACCTCGAGTTTCTCTCTGTCTCCGCCCTCTTTCAGAGCCACACACTCCATTTGATTTCCTCATTCATTCAGTCAGCAGGCGAGTTTTGGCGTAGCCTAGTTCTGCCGTCTGTAATTTAAAAAAATCAGAGTCAGTATATTAGAAGTCCATTAGGCACAGTAGGTGGCGACTTTTTTCACTAACATGGCATGTCCTTTTGATAACGATCCTGTGGATGAAGGTGCAGCATTACTGCGCAGAGAATTAAATAGGCCTATTCGTCGGGAGATGGTTATCAGACCGCGCATAGATGTTCTAGCATTTCCACACAATTATCTTTTTGTGCTGTACCGTTTCACGTTACAGTCCATCATCTACATACACAACCTAATCCGTCCTTACATTTGCAACATTACCAATCGTAGTCATGCTCTCACATCCAGCAGATATTGTGTGTTGCGCTGCGTTTCTTTGCAAAACGAAGTTTTTTGTACAGTGTCGGAGATGCTGAGCACTTGAGTAAGGCAACTGTATGCAGGGCGGTCAGAAAAGTGTGCTCGTTTTATGGGCATCTGCCTTCTTTCTGTTGGCTGAGTAGAAGTCTGTGTTAGTTTAAATAGGCTTAATTATTTAACAGAACATGATATAGATGAGAAGACATTTATGTGTGTGAAAACAGCATTATGTTGGGGATAAAACAACTGCACAGTCAAACAGCCACTTAATATTTACTTTACAATGTAAAACATGATCAGAATGAGGTACCCCCATGAGATTATGCTGAGCCTTACCTGTTTGAACAATGTTTTTATATTTCATCCTAAACTGCTGCCAAGTGCGCTTCTCTCCCGTGGGATTGCACCTAAATGAAATAAATTAATAGGCTACCATTCAAGCAGTTTTCCCCTGTAATATTATTGTGATTGCAAAGGACTACATTTAAACTTATGCATTCTCCCACGCCGTCTCCCTCTCTTTTGCAGCTGCAGCGATGTTGCACTTCTTTTTGAAAACGTGTGCAAACTCGCCGTATGAGCGCATTAAGATTTCTAATTCTAGTGGGGTGAAAAACGCAGCCCTCCTCTTCCCCGTTGCCATGGTGACTCGTCAAATCGGGGCTCCATTGATGCTGGCTTTTTATAGTTGTGGTGCACGCGCTTAACTCCAGGTGAAACTACTCTGAGTTGATTAAACTGATTCAAATCAGCTGTTCTGGAACCGGAAACTCAGAGTTTCCTATCTCAGAGTAGATCAACTAAGAGTTCAGGATTAGACTCAGAGTTTGTTGAACCTGCTTTGTGAAACGGACCCCAGGTCATGATTTATTTTTCTTTCGTTTTATGATTGTATTGTTTTTGGGACTTTGAGCACCACATGCCACGTGCCATCTCGTTCCATTACACTGGAGAGAAGGCAGACATCTCGACAGCCTATATCTCCCACACTCAGCAACTTTCACCAAAACAATCTAAATTAATAAATGCACTACAGGTGAGATATATTGATAATATGTATTTCTGATTTTGGGGTGAACTATCCCTTTAAGGAGCTGTAACCAGAAATTTGTGGGACCCAAAAAGAAGGTCACAGGCCCATAAAGAGCACATAATGTATTATATAAAATTTGGTGTGAAAAGGACAGACGAATTGTGAATTGTCATTCATGTCAGACTTTGGAAAGGCTTAATTTTATTGTGTAAGACAGCAGAGGTTGTTTACTTGTGCAGTATAACTATGTATCAATTTTATCTGAGGAAACCAGAAATGTTCAGTTTAACTCTGGCAAAGAATCTGGTTGAAATTAAACAGATACTCAAGATGCAAAGTAAAGCACTTACGTCGTCATGACTGACAGTTATAGGTTTGACCAGACTGTCACAGCTGCTCAGAGGAGCAGACTGTCCCAGTGAGAGAAGACCCAGCAACACAACAGCAGCAGCAGCACACTTCTTCATCCTGTAGATGGCTCTTATGTTGTTTCTCTCAAGCTTTCCAGCCAAAGCGGTGGTATTTGACGAGATGGGACAAGAATGTGTTGAGCTTTCTGTCTGTGCCTCCCAGTACGTATTCCACACAGCTTTTTTGTCTTCAGGCATACATTTTCACTGCCTGCCACAAACCTTACATCAAGTCTCCCTCCTGGATGCATATATTCACTTCTCTGTGTGCTGATGTAACCAAAGCAAACAGCCCAGGGGCAAGAGAGGGGGAGAGACTTTGACCTGTTGGAAGAACGGATGGAATCTTGATCCAATCACATGAAGCTGTTACATAGGCCTACATTTTGTATGCTAATGTTTTTCTGTGATAACCCCCTCTGATCTGTCACTCATACCCATAAATACATGCAATCTAACAGAAAAATGTTTAAGTTTTTCATTCTATGAACATATTTTCACATTTTCAATCACTGCTCCCCTGTTAATCAAAGCCACTCAATGAACCTTTACTGGCAGTATTTATTTTAATTACTGTGATGAAGGATGTATTCAAAACATTTACTGTAGTAAAGGTAGGACCACCACATAGTGGAGGCAAAAAATTATGATACAAAAATAATTACAAATCAGTTCACAAACATTTCAACAATGGCATCCAGGAGTCTTGCAGCTTTGTGTGATATCTTGGGCTCTAAAAAGGAATTCATGGCGTTGATCCCCTGTGTGGGTGAGCTGCTGTCTGGGCAGAGTTGTGTGTAGATACACATTATAAGTCACAAAACAACTGTACATTTCCTATAACATCAGGAAATTGTGGCTTGATGAGCACATGTATGCAGGAAACATCTTTACATGTCATATGAAGTGGTGAAGAAGATACACCTTACACCACCACCATGAATTTTGCAGTGGCAGGTACTCATCAAATACTTGTTGTTTGAAGCCAAATTCAAAGAGGCGTGATGTTAATGTATTTCATATTGGGATATCCAGCCCTTTTTAAGACTTTAAAATACCCCACTTGGAGTATTACTTTATGTCTCATATGGTTTCTCCACAAAAAGGTGCAATTACTTCATTCTAAATTGTCAAAACCACAATTCCTGCCTTGTGGTTGTATGCCTCCGCAAACCACTCACGTTGCACTTACAGTTTACAACCATGTCTGTGAAAACATGGATGTTTCACACACATCTTCAACTCAGCAGCACAGAAGATCTAAACAATCAGCACAGTTTCAAGGTGGACACCCAAGATCAGTGACACCAATTAAATATCTACATAAATTTCTCCCCTTCTTCTCCTGAGTTACGGCGTTGAATAATGGCCAGAAGTGTTTTTGCACATTACAATGTCACAGTGACGCTGACCTTTGACCTTTTGGATACATCATCATGTTATCATTAGGTCCTATTAGATATTTGTGTGAAGTTTGAACGTAATTAGTGTATGAATTCTTAAGCTGTGGTCAAGAACATATTTTGAGAGGTTTCAGTGACCTTGACCTTTGACCACCATATTCTAATCAGTTCAATCTTGAGTCCAAATGGACATTTGTGCCAAATTTTGTGAAACTCTCTCTTGAAATATTGCATTTATGAGAATGAGATGGATTGAGGTCACAGTGACCGTGACTTTTGACCATCAAAATTCTGTCAGTTCATCGTTGAGTCCAAATGGACGTTTGTGCCAAATTTGAAGAAATTCCCTTATGGTGTTCTTGAGATATCACATTCACGAGAAGGGAACAAACGGAAGGATGGGCAGACAAATGGAAGCACAGACAGCCCGAAAACATTATACCTCTGGCCACGGCTAACACTCTTAGAGGCATAATTACATTTACACAGACATCTAGAATCTATGAATGTGTGAATATTTTGAACTGTCAGACAGATGACTTAAACTGCTGGTCTCAAACTTTAAGTTGAGCACAGACAAACAAACCCCTTCAACAGATGAATGTGCAAACAACCTTCTAGTGTGAAACTCTGCTTATAAATACTGCACAGTGAGGCACAAACACCCATGTGAAATAAGAACATTTTTAAGAGGAGGACTTAAACATGCAGAATGAGTAGACTACATAGTTCTGTGAAAGATTAATATGAATCAGAATTAGGAAAATATTATGTGAAGAAATATTGGACTATTTATTAAAAAAAAAAAGTCACAAAACAACATCTTATCAAAAGTTTTTTTTTAATCGAACTCAAACTGACAGCTGTCTAAAGATGTCTTCATACGGAACAAGAACAAACAAACAAATGACAGCAAAAAGAGCTAAATCTGCTGATCATCCTGACTATACAGAGAAATCTCCGAGCATGACCTAACTCTTACAGCAGTGCTCTGAGAGGAGGGCTGGGGAGAAGAGGAGGGGGATGAAGATGGATTGATGTCCTGCCTGATGTCAGCTAGTGATGGAAAGACAGATGAAGTACGACTGACAACCATCCCTCCTTTACCACCTCCTCTGCTCCATCCATTCTCTGTGATGGTGAGGATGAACGACAGGACTGTGGAGGAGAATTGAGATTGATGGAGAGGGGAGTGACAGGGTGCATCGATCACTCTGCGACTTCCTGGTTTTGTTGGTCTGCGCTCATCGTCTCCCTTTCCTTCTTTCTCATCTCGGTGGGAGACACAGAGGGACAGACGGGACCAGAGACAGACAGAGGCAAAACAGGAGGGGGCGATCACTACTCCATGGCTTCCTGGTTTTCTTGGTCTGCGCTGATGTCCTCGCTGGCCTCCTTGCCCTCCTTGCTCCTCTTGCTCTTCTTGTGTTTGTGCCTCCGGTGGCTGTCGCCCTCCTCGCTGTCGTGCCTCCTCCTGCTACTGCTGCTAATGGAAGGAGAAGGACGAGAGTGTGAAAAGGGCAGAGGAGGTGAGGTGAGGGGATATTTGAGAGGGAAGGGAAAGAGATCAGACGGAAAGTAAAGGGCAGGGAGGGAAGGGAGATAAAAAGGTTAGGTAGGAGAGAGGTATAAATACAGACAAGAAGATCAATGGGTGAAAGAAAAGGTGAAATGAAATGGAGACAGACAAAAGGGTAAAGAAAATGACAGAGTGGCAGCATTGTGCCACATAAGAATAATGGAGGTGAAGTTAGGTGAAGGACAAAGTTTGAGACAACAGAAAAATGGAAAATATTTCTGATATACTGTTTCAGAAAGATCCAGTTTCTCAGTCTGATATTTGCTATGCCCTTATCCCACTTCAACAGCACCTACCAACGATCATGAGCCAGAAATAAGAAGCTTGCTTTTGTACCTGTCCCTGGCAGATTTTATAAGCAAGGGTGTGATTTTTCTGGATTTTTTTTTTTAATTCTGGATTTTCTGACCTGAAAATGTGACACCACATGGATCATGCAAATACATAAAAATATTTTTTTCCTTTAGCCCCAAATAATAAAACTTGGAGTAGTAAATAGTCTCTAAAGAAGAAGGCAGTATTGTAATTTTGTAGCTTCAGTGAATGGAACAGAGGCAAGATGAGCCCAATCAGAGAGGGTTTACAGGAAAACATGGAAATAATCATGTCCTATACAGCTCTGTTGGTTCTTTAGTTGACAGGGTTACTATCTCAAATGCTAACTAGCTGAGCTGAGCTCACACAGTCAGTCATGGATATATGCTGGGGTTTTTTTTTTACTGGTGAAAGAGGGCAATCAGTGGCACAAACATCCTCTCATGCTGAGCTAGGAAAACAAGGTGTGTAAATATCTGTATGAGTTTCCCTGGACTCAACATCTCGCATCTTTTTAATGGGAGTCTAGTAGAGTCTGCAGGATTGGACAGCCTAGCTTAAGTCTGTTGACATATTTCTGCATAATTATTAGCCATGTGCTTATGTCTGTTTTAGAAGACACACATGAAATGATACAATGGACGGTTGAAGAAAGATAAATTTGGCTACAAGTAATTAATTTCATTATAATAATTAGGGCTGGGACAATATGCTTTGGTCCCGATAGGATTCTATCACGATTCTGGGTCCCAGTTCGATTTACATTGCGATTCTGAATAACTGCGATTTTACAAGTATTGCGATTCGATATTTCAATTATCTGGATTTTTTTTCCTTACACAAAACCAAAAGTTGAATTCAATTCTAGTGACTACTGCATATTATGAGTCATAATTCCTAAAAAAAATTATGCACATCATGTCAGTCAGTCCATCTGAAATTAATTTGAATGCAGAGTGGTGCACCACCTTTACCATACAGAAAAAACATTCTCCTTATCCACCCCCATCTTTAGGTAAACTGCTACATTTAGCTGCTTCTGCTCATTAAACGAGTACCATAAATAATAAATCTGTCAAAAAGTAACTGAAAAATATCAATTCTGGGGAGAGAATCTATTTTTAGAATCATCCAAGAAAAAAATCGTGATTAATATAAAAATCAATTTTATTTTCCCCACCCCTGATAATAATGATTTAGAATGTTTGTTTAAATCAGAGTTTACCAAATTTCTTAACGTGTTACACATACTAATGATCTGAGGACAGGATGTGATTTATTTTATTTTATCTGTTTAGGATATTATCTTATTATTCTTTTTCTCTTTGTTTATGCCCAGCACATCAGAATGAATTGTAAACGAGTGATGAATGAGTTATTGGCCTGGACCCTCCTAAAGAGGTCAATTTAAAAATGTAATACATTTTCTGCCTGACATTGACAATGTTATTATGTGCAATGAATTTTGTTCTCCTGTGCTAGGATCTAGGATCAACTTGTACTCAGAAAAGACATGCTACACAGTAGAGGTGCCATTTAAGAACATGTTTTTTTTAAACTCTCTTTAAGCCGAGTATCACTCGTACTACAGCTCCATGTACACTGCTGCAACATGTGGATAAATCCAAATTTTGTCAGCCTACTGTGCCTAGTTATAGCTGCTAAGTTATGACAGGATGATGACTGTTTGGGGGAGGGGTTTAGCAAACTCAGTGCTCCTAAGAAAAGTTGTGTGTGTGTGTCTTTATACCTGCGAGAGGACTTGTGGCGTCCCTCCTCTTTCTCTCGGTGCCGTCTCTCTCTGTGTCTTTCCTCTTTCTCCCGGCTCGACCGGTCACGATGACGCTCTCCATAACCACGCTCCTGGTACTCACGGTAACGATACCGCTCCTCGTCGCTATGGAAGTTGACAGAACAAGACCTTTAACTTGATTGTGTTATGTTTGCATGTATACCAAACAAGTCCATTCTCTGATTAAAAATATTCCGTTTTAATGTTAGAGGGTTTTTTTTTAATCTAATATTTCATCAGTCTGTGTCTGTCTGTTTTTATCCGTCTCACCTGGTGTAGCCGATAGCTGAAGGACTGTGTTCCCTCTCTCTCTCCCTCTCATGTGTCCTCTCTCGGGGTCTTTCTCTTTCCTTCTCTCTCTTGTCGTCTCGACGAGAATAGTAGTCCCAGGGTTTAGAGTTGTCCATTATGGGGGGCCAAGGAGGAGGCACACCTCCAGCCATGGGTGGAGGGTATGCACCTGAAAATGTAAATAGGAAGGGAGATGAAGGCTTGGTTTTTACTTTGCTTTCATATGTTTCCTGGAAATCAGACTTTGTTCAAATCCAGTTCGCAATCTTTGACAGTCACTAATCATGCCAATGGGTGATAATGCTTTATAAATCATAATAACATGAATATTTAGGACGCATTTCTGTCAAAATATCTTTGTTTCCACTGTTTTAAACACATTGCAGGGTTATATTTTCTATATGTGTATATGACAGTAGATCTCTTATTAATCGACTGAAAACAAGTTCTGACACTGTTGTGCTGCTGATGTTAGAAGACCAGATTACACTGTAAAGTTTCCTACCTTGAGGGAATGGGTATGGAGGGACAGAGCGTCCATCATAACCTCCACCATGGCTACTGCAGAAACAGAGGAAAGGCAACATGTTAGAGTGTGTGTGTGTGTGTGTGTGTGTGTGTGTGTGTCTGGGGTGTGCTTCTATCATGGCAAGGACCAAGTATTTTTTCATGTTAAGATGAGTAAAAACTAGGTTAGAGGATGGAAACTAACAGCTTACTACAGTCAGTTGAAGTAATTTGCTGCCCATCGCTCTCCAGTGCTTCCACGTTTATTTTAGACTGATGACTGTATCAGATTGGGATGATTACACTATATCGACCTACAGTTACAGCTTTTACATTACAGTTGTAGTTGTATTTGGTCATGGTGATCTGTGTTTGTCCTCGCCATCGATCGCTTTCTTTCTTTGACTTCCTCTGAAGTTTCTTTTGTATGTGGAGCATCCACTCGGAGATGCTAACCTTTCACCATGCATCTAGCTGCTGCTCTGTTGCTATGGTCTCGCCTGGCTTCCTGCCCCCTTTCGCTCTGGCGGGTTGATGTGAAAAATATCACTTCCAGTGCAACAGCACTGCAAAGTTGCCTCAGACACCACAACTCTGGTGTGCTGCAAAGTACCGAGAACCTCCCTTGGCAGTGATCTGGGCTTGAGTGTAACAGACATTCATTTACATATATCAAATTCCAGCTTTAATTGTTGAGAAACAAATAGCTAAAAATTTCTCAAATTCAGAAACGCTTCTTTTTGTGTCTGCTGCCTGGAGGGGAGTTACTGAGTCTGTTTGACTAACAGCAGCTTGTGTGTGTGTTTTTTTAACATGTGTATTACCTGTCCATTGTGGGGATAATTGATGGAGGGGGCCCGCTGGGTGGAGGAGGAAAACCAGGAGGAGGGACAGTAATGGGCAACCCTACGAGGGAGAAAGAGAGAATACACACACTGAACACAATAAAATAGAGCAGTACAAGGGAAGATCAGATGATTGCTTAAAATTAAATACACACAAGAGGCCAGCTGAGAGAGAATAAGATGATGATGAACTTACTGGGTGGGGGGATGAGTGGGGGTGCAGTGTTGACGTTGGGTGGTGGAGGGAGGAACGGAGGTGGGGGTATGTTTGGAGGAAGCGGTCCGGGAGGGAAGAAAGTAGGAATTTTAGCTGGAGTCGGCTCGGCGTCTGATTGTTCAGCGATCACCTGCACAAAGAGACAAGAGAAGGTTGGGATGAAAACATACTCACTTCAGTTTCTCTTAACGTTAACCCTAGTTTAGGCAACAGGAAAACTTTTCAAATCACTTTTTTAGAAACAGCTACATGTTTCATAATTCAGAGTGACAGTCTGTGTTGGCTCTGTGTACCTGGATATTGTTGCCTTCTAGATTGTGTCTGCGTCGCCCTTCAACCCTGCTGATGGTGGCTGTCCCTCCGCCAATCACATCTATAGTACCACTGGGCTTCCTGGGAAAAGAATATTTAAAAGTAAAAGTCAATGCACTGAGCATACACACTGTCTACTTCCACACATAAAATAAAGAAACATAATCAGCAATGTGCATATACTAAACATCTAATTCACAGGAAAGTCTCTAATGATGTAGTCCCCAATAATTTCAGCAGACTCCTGAACGTTCCAAAGACTAGGCCCTGACAATGGACTGCAGGAAAGGAATTACGCTCCACTTAAAATGAATGGGTTCTTGGTGAAGAGGGTGGACAGCTTCAAGTACCTTGGTGTCCATATCACAGAGGGCCTGGTCCCCTGACTCTGTGGTAAGAAAGGCAAGGCGGAGACTGTTTCACCTTAGAAGCTACGAGGTGAGGAATTTCTACTCCTGCACCATCGAGAGCGTCCTGTCAAAGAACATCAGTGCTTGGTATGGAAATGGCACTTAACAGGACCAAGAGGCCCTGCAAAGAGTGGGTGTTCAGCTGAGCATACAGTAGGCGCTGCTCTACCCTGCATAGGGAACGTTTACACCAGGTGCTGCTAGACTAAGACCAGGAGAATCATTAAGGATCCCCACCACCTGCACTATGGTCTTTTCTCCATGTTGAGGTCGGGAGGATGGCATCTAGTACACAAGGCCAGCACTGAGAAGCTCAGGAATAGCTTCTACCCTCAGGCCACAAGGATCCTAAATGAGGTCACTTCCTGAGCTGTCTGAGATGTGAATTGAGCTGTGGTCCATCTGAAATGAAGATATTCTAGTGTCTCCTTCTAAAGTTCTAACTGATGTTAACTTACTACGTTACGACACATGCACATCATCACACACCCCCAAAGAAAGGAATTTTTGGGGCCTTGGAAGTAGCACCAGGAGTTTTTCTATGGTCATGTTTCATGGTCAAGAAAAACACCAGGCCCCCTGTTTTAAACATCAACACATTTCCCATCAGGCCCATTTAACCTTGTAGAGACAAGGCCATGCCAACTTACGTATAATAGGACATGTCCTGAACAGGTGGGCCAGGCCACTGAGGGGGAGAGATCCTACCATTTTGAAACAAAGGACAGGGGTAAAGGAGATGAGAGTAACATCGGCCCAAACACACACACGTACAGCCCATGGGATGATCTATTCTAACCACAGGGACACTGATAAACCTGGAGGTGACCAGGTGTGTTTTTGTGTGTCGTGTGAGTTGAGACGGAGTCTGAGCAAGTTGAAAAGCTAACACAAGAAATATTTTCACCGTGCAGTTTGCGTCTACAGTAACTACTGCTGCCTCACAGCAACCTGATTAAAATAAATATTTTTCCCTCCTCTTAAGATGCTCAATGTGTTGTGCATCAATTCTCCTCTTCCAGCTTCTCCTTGTCTAGACACGAGCCAAAATTCCATCCAAATGTAGTGCAATTTTTTTTTTATTCCAGTAATTCATCAAAAGATAATGTGAATTAATAAACGTTTCCATTCTCTACTGTTGTGTTAATATAAGGAGTTGAGCAAATCGAGATAAACGTTTGGTGGCGCTAATTCTAGAGCCAAGTGCCAGTGAAGCATTGCAGAAGGAGGCGCAAAAGACGATGTATTTAAAAAAGTATCAGTCAAATCTCAAACAAAGGGCAACCATGCAGAAAACATGATGGAAATATGATGCTGATGTATCAATTTGTTACACTTCCATCATTGCTCAACACATATCGCATGTTTTTGTCTGCTGCAATTTTTAGTCTCTTCAGTGGAGCAGAGGCCGAAGCAGACATTTCAATCACATGCTTCATGTACGTCATGATAGATTTTTTTTATCATTTATTATTTTTTTATTTGTGTTTCCACTTTTAATTATTTATTTTTAAAAATGCACATACAACAGGTGGATGAAAACACACTTCGTTTCTAGCTTATCTACATGTCTGTGCATCACTTCTAGTGGAAACTGCGTGTTATTTTACCAGATCTGTAATAGATAAAGATGACGGTGTTACCTGGTGACCTGACTGACAGCAGGCTTGTACAGACTGACAGGAGATGTGAAGTCTGGCTTGGAGGTGTGAACAGGTAAACTGGGTATGTCCTTCTCATTGCCCGTCCTGCCTTGCTGAACCTAAGAAAGAGCCAAAAAGAGCTCATTTCATGTGTTAATCATAGCAGAGGTAGTTAGTAGAGATTGAAGGCAGTGTCTTTAAAGCAATGTAGAAATACAGGCGATAGAAGTGTGTGAAATTAAAATACAGTGTTTACTTTTGTTACTGTTCCTCTGACCTAAAACAAAAAGGGGGTAAAGCTTTTCTTGTACTGGAAAGCTTCCAATTAAACCATGTCTGTCAAAACTCTTCTGAATGGGGGCTAGATTAGATAATGTGAAAATACCTGGGGACCAGCTGCTACTCACATCATATAGGTTATTAAAAAAATTACATGACAAATGACACAAACGCAAGTGTTTCATCTTAAAGTGAAGGTAGGTCTGCTATCTAGCAAAAAATATCTGGTGTGAGGTATTTGTTTGTTTGCTTGTTTACGGTCTATCCATGAAAACACATTAATTCAACCTGCACAGTTCTTTCTTGGTGCATGCCTACAAACTAATATGATTGTTCTGCCATTGTGAGGTGAATGAAAAAAAACAATCTTGCTTGATTAATCAATATTGTGTTAATTATAAAATATATTTTGAAAGACAGGCCGAGGGCAGTTTAAAATCAGTCTGCAGGCCACAACTGGCCCCCAGGCTGGACTTTGGACAGGACTAGGTTAAACCGTGCAGGAAACTGCTCTGATTTCAACTCAGTGGTGAGAGGGAGAGGTGTGTGAAGAAAACAGAAGGGTGATGAAATGTAGAAGGTGTTGACAGGAAGAAAAAATAAACAAACAAAGGACAGAGTAAGCACTGGTCTCTCACAGTGATCTTGCTTGTCACTGAGCCGACAGTGGAGACCTCAAGGCCCATGCGCAGTCTCTTCTGTTTTTCACAGTAAGCCTTCCATGTGTCTTCATTGAAGCCGTAGTTAAAGTAGTCAGACAGATCCGCTCCTACACACACACACACACACACACACACAAAATGCATGTAACTGTGGTGCCTAAAGGAACAGTTACAATTTATTACAGTTTTTTCCAATAGACACACACAAAGACACACAGACAGACCTGGTTTCCTCCAGGGTTTTTCTTCAAAGGACTCCATGTCCGCCTCAAGCACGGGAACCCCGTTTATATTTCCAGGAGCCTCCAGGTCCACTCCCTTCATCTTGGAGGCTACGGAAAATAAACAACACATCATGTTAACCAGACACTACTCTTATTAACTACTTCTGTGTAATCTCTATATCCTCTGTTGAACAGATCAGTGCAGAATACACATATTTTTAGGTCAAAACAGAAACCAGTTCAAGAATAGAGGATGATACCTTGTCCATAGGGTCTGGAGCCTGTTGTCTTAATGTTGAGGTTGACAGGCGGAGCTCCATAAGGTCTGGGAGGAAAAAAATTAAAACCCTGTCATTGATATCACAATCTACTCATAATCAGCTGTCATGTACACCAGATATATTACCATATACAAGTAAAGAATAGGAACAGTCACCTGCGGTGAATAATAGGCTTCTTAATATGCTGATAGTGTACGACAGTTCCTGTTACTTGAAAGCTTTAGCATCCTCAGGTTCTAATGTGGACCAGACAAGCTATTTTGGCCTCATGTCAAAGCATCAACAAGCATATAAAGTTCGCTCAGAGACAAGACAGTGTTGACTTCCTGCTGGTCTTGGACCAATATTAATAGGTTAGCAGTGTGATCTGAAAGCTATCTAGAAATTATGGTGTGGGAAAGCACATTTTTTTAATCAAATCTTGATTTCAAGCTTAGTTTTATGATTATGAACAGAAAAAATGCAGGAAAACCCGACTTCTCTTTTTTAAAGCAAAAATTAAAAACAGTAATTTTATTCAAACTAGCCAAAGACTAAAGTAATGTGCAAAACCCCACTCTTTGACTATAACCTACGTGTACTGTGGTGCTCCAGTTTTGATGTCTCCAATGGTGACACGGACATCATCGTCGTCGTCGTCACTGTCGCTGTCACTGTCAACGTCCTCACCTGCAGCTTCAGCTGTCGCCTGAAAGACCAGGAGGAAAAGAATAATTAGACATGAGTGTTTCTCAGAGGGACAGAAAATAACTGAGAGGAATGTAAACTGTGACATACGCACATGTACAAAAACAAAACAGAGAAAGATCAGGGCAAACGTTGCAGCACACACTGTGACTGTGTGCATACACGCTTCCTACCTCAGAGGCCACTCCATTCCCTGTAGCGTGTGCAGCCGCATCAGCAGCGGCATCCTCTGTTGAGGCATCACCAGGTGCACTGTACATAAAATAAACATTAAGTTTCTTTCAATTACAGATAGAACATAACCAGTTACTCTAAACATCCTCAAACAACATAAATGAACTTGTAAATGCCCAAAAAATAGTGAACAAAACCTCCATCTTAAAGAAGGCACTTAGGTTTGTCCCCTGCTTCGTATGAAGCTAAGAGAGACGTTTCACTTTTTTCAAGCTGAGTTTTCACGCCCTTTAACATCACGATGATGATGGTGCAAATGTAAGAGGATTAGAAGGTACGGTTTGACACGATACATAATTTTTCATGCATTTTTCTTGAAACGTATGAATGCATATAAGCTGGATGAATGCATGGATGTGTGAGGGTTTATGCTTCTTTATGGTTTCTCTTTGTGCTGCAGTAAATAGCACCTCCTCCTCCTCCTCCTCATGATATAAACAGGTGTCTTCTGAGTGTTTGTAACACTTACACAAATCCAAGGTGTTTATGTGGGTTGTCAGAGATGTTAAATACCTGAGTGCAGCATTCAGTTTGGCTTCCTCGTCCTCATCTTTGCTCTCTGACTCATCTGAAAGATGAAAGATGCAACATAGTTGTGTCAACAATAACCAGCTCTAAAGGCATTCATTAGCTTCTCGTGTTGAACCTGTGCAAATATCCAACAGAGCGACAGAGGGAGTATTTGCAACATTTAAGTTTGGTTCAATATGTGACAGGTACATTCAATCACTTTCTCCTCAAGTCATACATACGGCTGCAAAAGGCCGGGAAAAGCAAACAGGCGCTGCTAGCTTAGCTTCCAGGCTAACCCTCTCATCTTCTCATATTAGCAGACTGTGTTGTTGGTTAGCAACTCCTTAACTGACACACACATTGATACATGTATGTTTCGGTCAAGACGAGTTGTGTTTGCGGACAGCATATGTTGTGTTTTGTATACCTCCATACAGCCATTCCTCCTCCTCATCTCCGGCGCTGGCATCAGTGGTGGTTGTTTTGTCCGCTTCCTCCGCAGACATGTTCAGCTAACACGGAGCACGAGCTAACGTTAAACCAACGGCAGCTTCACAACAACGTTCAGCACAGCTTCTAAATGCGGTAATACAAGTACAATTTATCCCTTCAGCGGGGACACACGGTTATGTACACAAAAATTATGACTCCATTGGATTTATCTCCAACCTGTTCTTGTGAGTGTGAACCCGGAAGTGGTTGTTGGTGTCCCGCTACGTGAACGTGTTGTTGCAGAAAACACAGCGCCCCCCGGCGGATGAGACACCACGGTTCATCCAGGAGCTGCCAGTGATCAATACTGTGATATACATATTTATATATTTATATATTTCTGTTTGTGTGTATGTATTGTGTGCTTCTGTACTATATCATACTATATTTTGTTCATGTCATACCGTCTTACTATATGATACACTGTATTTGAATCAGAATCACATTTATTGTCCAACATACTAAGAGCAGACAGGACTATCATGTATACAAGTATGTGAAATAAGTTATTTATATAATATAAATAAATAAAAATAAAACACCTATACAGGTCTAGTGTTCTGTGTGCTGTAAAATACATTGTTACCGCAAAGAAATACATACTGCATGGATATACATGGACTTGATGATTATGTACAGTATGTGCATGTGTACATTTTTCTATTTACAGAATGTGGGATTTATATTGACAGTGACAGATGAAATATCCATATGAAAGAACTGATGCATTAAAAACTTAGAGCAGCGGATGTTTTGGTGTTATGGGCTATTGACAGTGTATGACTTGTTTAACTGTTTATCAGAGTGATGGCTCTCTGTTTCTATTATGTTGCTATATTAATACAGACAACGCCGAGTATCAATACTTAAGCACATTATATATTATTGTGGTGTACGCTGTTAACCCTAGACTTGATGACTTGGTGCTATAAACCAAATCATTTGACTTTATCAAACTTTGTCTTTAATTGTGCTTGAGTAGTTTTCTTCTTTTCTTTTATTTCTTATCTTATATTGTGTGACAAATACATGGTAAAGTGATTTTGACTGAATCCTTAGTCCTACAGATAAGTTAACAGTCATATGACACTGAGGTTCAGGAGACTCCTGACCCCTTAGGCCGCTGGGCCGCTTGGCCACGACCTGGTGATCCATAGGCAAATAACCATCTATTTTAAAAACGCACCACGTGGTCAAAAGGATGAGGATGCTCAAACATTTACCCATTTGTAATTGTTAAACATGACACTCTGAAACCATGAGCTGTTATATGCTTCAAGCCTCTACTCCTCTGGAAAGGCTTTCCACAAGGCTGGATGGAAGTGGGCAAAGCAGACAATTGCCCCTGGGTCACAGACCCTCATGGAGTCACTAGGTGTATGCTTTTTGGTCATTTGATTGATTGCAAATGTGTAAATATTCAGTCCTAAATAACAACTTGAAATAAAAAAAAAAACAAGTTAGTGTAGGCCTAACCTTGTCTTGTAGAGGAGCCTTGCATCATTAGGAGTCTACAGATGACGCTTTGAGCTAAATGCTAACATCAGCGTGCTCTCAGAGATGCTGATATGACGCTAATATGTTGATGCTTAGCAGGTATCATGTGTATCATGTTCACAAACTTAGTTCAGCATGCTAGCACGCTAACACCTGCTGATTTGCACTGACCTGAGCAACACAGCTGAAGCTGAATACTTTTAGTGTTGCAAAGATTAAACTAAAACACTCAAGTACCGGACCAATTAAAATGTTGACCTGATGATGGTGCTAGATGGATAATCAATTATCAAAATGATAAAATTTAATCCCAGTGGGAAACATGAGTGCCTGCACCAAATTTCATGACAGTCCATCTAGCAGGTGTTGAGATATTTTACTGAAAATCACAAATATCAGCCTCATGGTGATGATAGAGGAAACATCAGGAGATCATCAAAATTATTAGGATTCATGATGCAGGGACCACGAATGTCTATACAAAATGTAATATAATCTATTATTATGATTCAAAAGTTGATAAGATATTTTACTTTAGAGGAAAGTGGTTCGACGGACCAACAGACAAACCAGAAACACACAGAGAAGGGAGAGACGTCTCACCAGATCTCAACATATATATCTGTCATAAGCATTTCATTTTACACAAACCACATTCTTATCAGTGAAGTATGAATATCCAAATTTATGGTAGGTTTTTTTAAAATCTGGATTGAAATGCTGAGATGTTTAAAAAAAAAAAGGATGGGAAGCTGTCATCAAAGAGAATATTCAAGTTTAACCACCAAGTCACATCATCTTCCTATTGAAGTGCTGACTTTATGTAAATAAGTGCTCAGAATATTTGTTATTCAAATGGTGTTTTCACTACATAGACCTATGGACACAAGAACATAATGCAAAATAACATTGTCAGAAACTGAACCAGTGTATTTGTATTTGTTTTGTTCCCATTCCTGCATTAATTGATAGATTTTGCAATGCACAACAACAACAATCAGGCTTCACAAAGGCTGCTGACAGTTTGACAAATTTCATACAAGCCTGCTTTATCTCCTTGTCTGTCAAGTATCAAATTAAGAAAGGCACAGGCTCCACTGTTGCTGTCACCTGCTCATTAGTGACTAGCTTTTTGTAATTCTGCAGTTTAATGTTGAAAGCAATGTCAAAAAACTGTATGAAGCCTGGGCAATTTGATGTAATTTTAATTAAGTTGTGCCTTTCTGAACTGCTGGTAGTGAAAACATCCTGAGCCCTCAACATCGCTGCTCTTCATTTCCGACAGTCTGTTTTTACGTGTGTGAAACTGCAATATACACATAAAAAATATTGTGTGGTAACCTAGAAGAAGAGGAGAAGAGAAACAGCCTGAAACACATTATCTTAACATTTTGGTATCCAAACCAGTATACTTAGTACCCATGAGGTGCAAACCATTGCTGACAGGGACACATTGGGGTGGTGGTGCAGGCTGTCAGTAGGGGCCCACAGCTTAGTATTATCACAGGGACCCGAAGTGGATTCATCTGGTCATGGCCTTGAAACTGAGGTCGGGCACAGATGTTGGGCAACAACACTGCAGTACAGTCCAACTCATCCCAAAGGTGTTGAATGGGGTTGGGGTCAGGGCTCTGTGCAGGCCAAACAAATTCTTCCACACTCACACTGGGAAAACCACTGGACTCACTCACAACAGGACAGGGGCTTTCCCAACCTGCTGCCACAGAGATGGAAGCACACTAGTGTCTAAAATATCATATATGTATGTAGTGTCCTTTAAGTCAGTGGCTCCCAACTAGTATGGCCAGGGGGTCCAGATTTCTCCTTAGTCATTAGTTCAAGGTCCACACAGTTTAATACATTCAGCTTCATAAATGCGTTTGGCCATTTTATCAAGCTAGTTTGCTGTCTCTGTCAAGTTGCCGTCAGTTAGTCATTCACTCTAAAGAAGGAAACTGCACTTAAAGTACTCAGTACCCAAAATTTTTGTGTTTTTAAGAGACTTGACACGTTTGCGAATCACTTGTGGTCCATTCAGAATGAGCCCATGACCCACTTTTGGACTGCGACCTATCAGTTGGGAACCACTGCTTTGAGTAGAATAAAGGAGCTTAACTTTAAAATGCAGCCCCATGGCAAAAGAAGACAATAGTATTTTACGATTGTGTCCACATACTTTTGGCCATTGAGCCTAGAAATATGCAGTGATGTGAAATTGTTAGATATGACACAGAGAGTTAGAGAAGTGCAGGGCTTAATCACTGGACTGCCAAGGAAATGAACAAGGCACTCCACCCTGCTCCAGCGGTCAGCATTAAGACTGTGGTCGTTGGATTTACTCAGCAGCAAACATGGTATAGTCTTGTAGATGTAAAGGGCAGGGCGTTGCTGGAAGAGAGAAAACAGTCTCAATATATAGCTTCTAATGACATTATACCACTGCTTAATTACTTTGTAAGTTGGTTACAAAGTAATTAAGCAGAGACAGATGCTAATAAGATTATGCGATGGCAAATAAAACAAGATTGAATTGGATGAAAAGATAAATAAAAAATCAAGAAACATGAAATAATGCAAGTCGACTATAAGCCAGTTCAACAACTTATATTTTTATCTGTATTTGGAAAGATTATAGGAGAATGCACAGCTTGTTAAGGGTAGTTTAGATGTCACAACAGCAAGTCACCTCTGGTCACAAATCCAGACTCAAGAGCTATCAGAGGCATGGGTGGATTATGAGACAATGGGCCTATTGGCAAAGATATGCAAAGGGCTCCAACACCTCACCTACACAGGAGCAAGTCCACACAGACTTTGCGATGCTTTTGCATCTCTTTGTAGTCACTATGCATCATTTCGTAGTTTTGTGTCTCTTTGTGGTAATCCTGTGTCTTTTTTGTTGTTTTGTGTCTTTTTGGAGTCATTTTGCATCTCTTTGTAGTTGCTTTGTGTGGTGTTTTGTAGTCATTTTAGTTTCTTAGATGTAATTTTGTGTCCTATTAAGGTAATTTTGGGTCCTTTTGGGTCTTTCTATGTCTTTTTAGTCATGTTGTGTCTCTTTGTAGTCATGTTGTGTCTCCTTGTGGCTGTTTTGTACCTCTTTGTAGTTGTTTTTTGTAGTTTTCTAGTCATTTGAGTCTCTTTGATGTAACTTTGTAGTTATTTTGTGTCTCTTTGTAATAGTGTTGCTTATTTTTGTATTTGTTTTCTGTCTCTTTGCATCTCTTTGTGGTCATTTTGAGTTTTTTTTTCCTGGTCTGCTTTGACATTTTGCAAGTGAGGCAAGGGGGGGCCCCTGACACTGTGGGTCCCCTGGCCTGTGCCCAGTCGACCCATTCAGTAATCCATCCATGGTTAGAGGAGGATTAGGTTTAAATGGATGCCACCACAGAAATAGAATAATAACATTTCTATAGATGACACAGATCACACAGAGCTGAGCTGTGTCCTTTTATACATTCATAAAATTAAGCAGCAGCTGCAGGCTCAGCATCAACAAACTGATTGCTGTTGTGGTTCTGTTTGCACAAGACGTTGGCCCCGTTAATGCAGTGAGGACTGCTAATGCATTTATGGCCCTTGACCAGTTAAGTGGAAGCCACTTTAGCTTTGACAGTAAATGACATGAAAATCTGTGGATTCTCTCACTCTCTCTTTTCTTTACCACTTCACTTATTATCACTTCTTGACAGTGGTGGTTATAGAGA